TTACCATTGCAACAAAAAGAATAAAATATCTAGGAATAAACCTACCTAAGGAGACAAAAGACCTGTATGCAGAAAATTATAAGACACTGATGAAAGAAATTAAAGATGATACAAACAGATGGAGAGATATACCATGTTCTTGGATTGGAAGAATCAACATTGTGAAAATGACTCTACTCCCCAAAGCAATCTATAGATTCAATGCAATCCCTATCAAACTACCACTGGCATTTTTCACAGAACTAGAACAAAAAATTTCACAATTTGTATGGAAACACAAAAGACCCCGAATAGCCAAAGCAATCTTGAGAACAAAAAATGGAGCTGGAGGAATCAGGCTGCCTGACTTCAGACTATACTACAAAGCTACAGTAATCAAGACAGTATGGTACTGGCACAAAAACAGAAAGATAGATCAATGGAATAGGATAGAAAGCCCAGAGATAAACCCATGCACATATGGTCACCTTATCTTTGATAAAGGTGGCAGGAATATACAGTGGAGAAAGGACAGCCCCTTCAATAAGTGGTGCTGGGAAAACTGGACAGGTACATGTAAAAGTATGAGATTAGATCACTCCCTAACACCATACACAAAAATAAGCTCAAAATGGATTAAAGACCTAAATGTAAGGCCAGAAACTATCAAACTCTTAGAGGAAAACATAGGCAGAACACTCTATGACATAAATCACAGCAAGATCCTTCTTGACCCATCTCCTAGAGTAATGGAGATAAAAACAAAAATAAACAAATGGGACCTAATGAAACTTCAAAGCTTTTGCACAGCAAAGGAAACCATAAACAAGACCAAAAGACAGCCCTCAGAATGGGAGAAAATATTTGCAAATGAATCAACTGACAAAGGATTAATCTCTAAAATTTACAGGCAGCTCATGCAGCTCAATAACAAAAAAATAAACAACCCAATCCAAAAATGGGCAGAAGACCTAAATAGACATTTCTCCAAAGAAGATATACAGACTGCCAACAAACACATGAAAGAATGCTCAACATCATTAATCATTAGAGAAATGCAAATCAAAACTACAATGAGATATCATCTCACACCAGTCAGAATGGCCATCATCAAAAAATCTAGAAACAATAAATGCTGGAGAGGGTGTGGAGAAAAGGGAACACTCTTGCACTGCTGGTGGGAATGTGAATTGGTTCAGCCACTATGGAGAACAGTATGGAGGTTCCTTAAAAAACTACAAATAGAACTACCATATGACCCAGCAATCCCACTACTAGGTATATACCCTGAGGAAACCAGAATTCAGAAAGAGTCATGTACCAAAATGTTCATTGCAGCTCTATTTACAATAGCCCGGAGATGGAAACAACCTAAGTGCCCGTCGTCGGATGAATGGATAAAGAAGATGTGGCACATATATACAATGGAATATTACTCAGCCATAAAAAGAAACGAAATTGAGCTATTTGTAATGAGGTGGATAGATCTAGAGTCTGTCATACAGAGTGAAGTAAGTCAGAAAGAGAAGGACAAATACCGTATGCTAACACATATATATGGAATTTAAGAAAAAAAAAATGTTATGAAGAACCTAGGGGTAAAACAGGAATAAAGACAGAGACCTACTGGAGAACAGACTTGAGGATATGGGGAGGGGGAAGGGTGAGGTGTGTTAGGGCGAGAGAGAGACATGGACATATATATACTAACAAACGTAAGGTAGATAGCCAGTGGGAAGCAGCCGCATGGCACAGGGAAACCGGCTCGGTTCTTTGTGGCTGTCTGGAGGGGTGGGATAGGGAGGGTGGGAGGGAGGGAGACAAAGAGGGAAGAGATATGGGAACATATGTATATGTATAACTGATTCACTCTGTTATAAAGCAGAAACTAACACACCATTGTAAAGCAATTATACCCCAATAAAGATGTTTAAAAAATAAAGTATACATTGTGATGTCAAAAAAAAAAAAACCATATGATCATCTCAATACATGCAGAAAAAGCTTCTGACAAAATTCAACACCCAGTTATGATAAAAACTCTCCAGAAAGTGGGCATAGAGGGAACCTACCTCAACATAATAAAGGCCATATATCATAAAGGCAAACCATTCTCAATGGTGAAAAACTGAAAGCAGTTCCAAGATCAGGAACAAGACAAGGATGTCCGCTCTTACCACTATTATTCAACATAGTTTTAGAAGTCGTAGCCACGGCAATCAGAGAAGAAAAAGAAATAAAAGGAATACAAATTGGAAAAGTAAAACTGTTACTGTTTGCCGATGATATGATACTACTATACATAGAGAATCCTAAAGATGGCACCAGGAAACTACTAGAGCTAATCAATGAATCTGGTAAAGTTGCAGGATACAAAATTAATGCACAGAAATCTCTTGCATTCCTATACACTAATGATGAACAATCTGAAAGAAATTAAGGAAACATCCCCATTTACCACTGCAACAAAAAGAATAAAATACCTAGGAATAATCCTACCTAGGGAGACAAAAGACCTATATGCAGAAAACTATAAGACACTGATGAAAGAAATTAAAGATGACACCAACAGATGGAGAGATATACCATGTTCTTGGATTGGAAGAATCAGTATTATGAAAATGACTATACTGCCCAAAGCAATCTACAGATTCAATGTAAACCCTATCAAATTACCAATGGCATTTTTTACGGAACTAGAACAAAAAATCTTAAAATTTGTATGGAGACACAAAAGACCCCGAATAGCCAAAGCATTCTTGAGGGAAAAAAACAGAGCTGGAGGAATCAGCCTCCCTGACTTAAGACTATACTGCAAAGCTACAGTAATCAAGACAATATGGTACTGGCACAAAAACAGAAATATATATCAATGGAACAGGATAGAAAGCCCAGAGCTAACCCACACACCCAGGGTCAACTAATCTATGACAAAGGAGGCAAGGATGGAGAAAAGACAGTCTCTTCAATAGGTGGTGCTGGTAAAAGTGGACAGCTACAAGTAAAAGAATGAAATTAGAACACTCCCTAACACCATACACAAAAATAAACTAAAAACAAACAAAAAAATCAGTAAACTGAACATCTAGAATTTTTTCCAAAGCCACCTTTTAAAAAATACTTGAGATAAATTTTAAAGGACTTAAGAAAAATGCAAACTTTTGGCAAAATGTTTACATTAAGTAATAAATCCTTCATGGAAACGTATAACATGTTTGCTTCTTAAATTACTTTCTTTTAAAACTTAAAAATTACTAAGGATATATGCATGGCCACCAAAATTATGCCTTTTCCGACCCATTTGCTTAGGGAAGAGGTTATTATAAGCACTGCAGTAGTTTTCAATAATCAGTCCCTGCTTTTGGGTCTGAAATATATTTCTGTAAAGATTTTAACACACTAGAACTTTTTCTCTTGTGCTCTGAAGTACACAGAATGCTATACTTTACCTGAACTTGAAATAGCCATAAAAATTAAAATTATTTTACACATTGTGTTATTAAAAAGTATAGGTCAAGTAAATGATTTTATAAACCATTATACTGAAGTAGTTTTAATGTTGACTAGCTTCTTCTATATTACAGTATTTTGAAAATGGGTGAACCATGCTAACAAAAATATCTACTGAACCAGAACATGCCAGTTCTCTATCTTCAGGGTTTTCACCTTTGGCAGCAACATGGTGCAATAGGGGGAAGATTTTAGGGGTCAGGGAGATCTGGGCTTGAATCATGATTCCATCACTTAGTAGTAGTATGACTATAGAGAAGTTATGTAACCACTTTCAGCTTTCATTTCATCCTCTGAAAAATGAAGATAGAGGTGATAGTATTTACTTCAAGAAATTTCAAGTGAAGATTAAATCTAATTATGTGTATAAAGTACCAAGCATTGTAGCTGTGCTTCAAATGTGCTCAGTAAGTATTAGTTTGCCTTTACTCCTTCTAGACAGCCATTGAGTTATTCAATATTTATTTGCAAAACCAAAAAATTATAAAAATGTACTTATAATAAAACCCTGGAAACCAATCTGGCATGAAATTAGTGAGACCATGATGGTTTGAAATCATGTCTCCTTTAACCTTGAGTTTACTTCCTTTCTTCTGGAGTTCTTGTATTGGCGCTCAACCTCTGTCCTTCCATAATACTTTTGTTTTATATTTTTCTTTGATCTGAATATTGTTTTCTACTTATATTTTATGATTATTTTATTGTGTTCATGGTGTAAAACATCTGAAATATTTTATAGAAAAAAGTAGGATATAATTAAATCTAAAAACTATTTCTAATCTAAAATAAGAAATTACCTTTTTTCGTGATCCATTCAATGATTTCATCCATCTATCTACATTACTTAAGGATCTCCTACTATATGCCAGACTCTCTTCCAGGCACTAAGCAAGTAATTCATAAAACAAAGCCTTTGACTTACAGGGTCTCATTTCTCCCTTGGCAAGGAGACTTAATATTACCCCTTCTATTTACAGATGAGAGAACTGAAACAGAGTAACTTGCCTCAAACAACACTGTTGGGGCAAATGAGGACCAAGCACTGACCTAAGCACTACTCCAACCATATCATATCACCTGCTGCTTAAAACTATGGTGAGCTTTCTAACATAAATAAAACTGCATATGTGAAGAACTATTGAAATCAGCATCCTGTAACACCTTAAAGACTTAGAAGTATTAGTCAAATAAGTTAATCAGCTTCTGAAAAATGTAACTACATTTAATAATTCTGAAAATACTTTAAAGGGGAACTATAAGTCTCAGATCAAGCAGTCAGATTTTTTTCTTCCAATCAACACAAAACATAATTTTCAAAACCTTTAGAGATTACTAAAATTATGCTAAACAAGTATGCCAGAGAAAAGGCAAACAAAACAGTCATATGTATACTTGGTAATCTGTGAAGTTGGAAAACTGAGAATCTGGAAACTTAATGTTTCAATGTGAAGGACAGATTTCCACGAATGGGCATATTTTTACAATAGTGAAATTGCCAGAGGTGGACTTACCTGCAAGAGCCCACTCTCCTGTACCATGAGTGTGCCCACTGTAATACAAAACATACGTATCATGTCTAGGTCCATCCACAGTCCGAAGTTCAAGGAAAGCTTTCAGTTTGGAATGTAGAGTATCAAAGGACAGGCCACTTGTAGAATAGTCACATCCATAGGTCTCAATCATGTGATATGCAAAAAATCTTTGGATAGCATTGAGCATGCCAGTAGACCTCAAATTTAACTCCTGTACATGTTCTGGTGGAAGAAGTGTTGGCTGACCATCAGGACTGAGGAAGGAGAAAAAAAGATCATTTTAGTGTTTATGAAGTGTTCATTCTATGTCACATTCCTATTCTTCATTTATAATAAATTACCTAAGAATCATAAGTGGTTAATTAAATGGCAGGATTTTTTTTTAAGAAAAACATCTTTCCTAAATTTTCTACAGTGCTAAGAATTAAGCTTGGAAAATCAAAGCCTAGTTTCTAAAAATTATATTTCTTATCAATAAAACTGAAAGCTGGGAGAATATCTCCAAATGTAGATAGTACTATTCTTCACTCTTTATTCATATCTTCTTACCAAATGACAGATATTAAACAAAACTTTAAAAAGCAAGACTGTACTAATTCTACCCCCAAAATGTTTCAAGAATATCTGGGTGGGGACAATAATGAAAGTAATTTTTCTTGAGAAAAAAATTTTAACAAAATATGGAAGCGATATTTTAAATTATATATTTAATTTCTGTGTTGAAAAAGACAGTCTTTATAAAGTTGTGTTCAAGTTTTACTAACTTAAGGTACATAAATGATAGAACTTACCTTTTAATAAATGACATTTTAAAACAATTATTATGGACTTCCCTGGTGGCACAGTGGTTAAGAATCCGCCTGCCAATGCAGGGGACATGAGTTTGAGCCCTGGTCTGGGAAGATCCCACATGCCGCGGAGCAACTAAGCCCATGTGCCACAAGTACTTAGCCTGCGCTCTAGAGCCTGTGAGCCACAAGTACTGAGCCCACATGCTGCAACTACTGAAGCCCACACACCTAGAGCCCGTGCTCTGCAACGAGAGAAGCCACTGCAATGAGAAGCCCGCACAACAAGAGAAAGCCCACGTGCAGCAACGAAGACCCAACGCAGCCCAAAATGAATATATAAAATAAATAAATTTATTTAAAAAAATTATTACTATTTAGGTCCACTGCCTTATATACTACTGAATACTAACTGAAGACTTAGACCTGATCCTGGAATACATGTAAAATGTAAAATGGTACTTTAGTAAAGATAATAAACCAAGTTTTAAAACTAGCAGAATCAAATCAATATTGAGGGAGAAAAAAATCATAACTCTTATCCAGAAAAGAGATTTCTAGTAGGAATTTTGAAAACTTTATATTTTGCTTCATGTATTATCAATACTATTCTATTAATTCTATAAAAGTTTTCATTAAAAGAAGAAAACATTTTGTCCCTATTTGTATCATTTAACAGCCACAAAACAGCAAAAGAATAAAGCAATGCATAATCAAAAATTATAACAGAATAAAAATCTAACTGTGCAAGTTACTATTTCCACATATTCTTCCTGCAGAGTTGTCACATCTTACTTTATGTGATCCTTCTAAACGTATTTCTTTTACTTCTCATGAGAATCTTCAACTTATATATCAAGTCTTTAATATAGAGGAAATATTTACTATAAAGAGTCTACTTTGTGTTTTTATGTCAAATATTTGAAATCAGATAAAAACTTCATTTCAAGCCCTCTCCCACCCCTGGCCAAGGAAAGTATGATGACTGCTTGGTCAACAGAATTCATTAATGGCAAGGAACTATTTTTTTCTACTTCAAAGGTACTTAACTACAAAAGAAAAACTAAAATTTGGCAATATTTACAGACTGAAACAGATTTGCCATACATGTGGGGTAAAAATATTTCCAAATAAAACTGCAATCAAATACTTAACTTCACTGCCAATGTTTTTGGATTCGTGGTATTTGTATGACATTTTCTAGTAGTGTTTTTACATTTATAGTCTCATTAGCTCTTCATAACATTTCTCTATACGGGCAGAATGGTATTGTTTGCATTTTAGATAAAGACACTGAGGTCCAGAGAAGTTATGATCTGCCTAAAGTAACACAGAACTAGAATTTAGGATGCTGAGGTCCAGTGTACATTCTATTATACTTCACCATGTTGTTTCACATTTTCTTAAACAAGATATCCCTCTCTAAAGAAAGGGCAGGAACTTTACTTAGAAAATCCATTCATATTTTATGAAAATCCATTCATATTTTATGATTTTTAGCTAAAATATAAGCTAATCATATTTATCAAGAATAAAATTTTAATTGAACCCTGAAGATTATATTATTACTCAGAGTAAAGGTTTTTAAACATTTGGGATAAATGGAAAATAAAAAAGCAAGAGTATTATACTTTGAGAATATTATAGTTTTGAAAAAATGAGCTATCATCTTATACCAATATTAGCAAAATATAAGGAGTCAAGTAGCTATTACTTATTATACTAGGTTACTGTACCTGCAGAAGTTGGTGGGAATCACAATAGCATATCCAACAGATGTTCCTCCTAAACAGTTACCCAATTCATGGAAGAGGCCATGAGCCATAGATTCCAATGGCAAAACAATCAGAAACATGCTCAAGAAGATTCCATTTGTTGGCTAAAAAAAATTTAAAGCAGCATGTTTACATAGAGTCTGTGACTGAACTTATATATGTGTATATGTATATATATTTACATAAATGCATATTCATTTTTTGCCTCTACTTCCGAAAAGGATAATTAATGACCTAAAAACCGTTATAAGTTGAAAGAGACAAGTGTATACATGGATGAGCAATGAACCCTAAATTTACCTCTAAGCTGCTTGGAAGTCATGGCAAAACAAATACAGCACACCGCATTTTTATCATGTGCTGTATTTTTATGATGGGATGTCAAATAACACCCCACTCAAACTAAAAAAACAAAAATATAACCACACCCTTGATATAACAGAGAAAAAGCCAGAAAACAAATCCTTCCCTGTTAAAACCCACATGCTCTAAATCATTTTACAAATAACACACTCATTTACTTTATCAGAAAAGGTACTTTAGAAAGGGCTTTTTTTCCCCCTGTGAAATTGTGAAATGTCCAGAAATTAAGAGAAAATCTTAAACTGTAAGTTCCTTAAAGCTATCAAAATGAACTCCATTCTTAAACTTATAACAAACTTTTCCTTTGAAAAGCTCTAGACTATAAATTCAAAACTGTAAAAAATAAAGTATATATATATATATATATATATATATATATATATATATATATATAAAGACATATTGAAGACATTTAAGCAGCCTAAAAACAGAATGGAAAAAGGGAGGTAGGAGACAAGATTTAAGTAGTATTTGCAATTAAAAGAAACAAAAAATTAAAGGACCCATTTAACTGAAAAGGAAAAGGAAGGATAAGTCACTCAGAACTGACCTATATTTTTACAATACAGATAGTATCCCATATTTTTTGTGTTGCTACTGCGCATATTACACAGTTATGTGTCTATGTGCATGAATACAGTTTTCTAACACTAAGAAGTGGTTCATTTGATCGGAATTTCAATAAAAAAATAAAGTTGACTCCAATAATGGAAAAATGGATATAATGCCCTATTTTTGGTACATTCTGTGTTATCAGTCACATAAATAATACAGTACATGCTCAATTTAGAAACAATAGAAAATACAAATGAGTAAAACTATGATTAGAATAATTCCAAGTACCATCATCCACACACAGCTTTTTAAAATATGTTCAGACATCATACAATATATATAAATATTCACAAATATTTAGTTTCTTACCAAAGTGCAATGATATATAATGTTCTGCAAACTTTTTAATATGTTAAAGCCCATTAATGTAATTCTAAATCATTTGTAAATATCAAATGGCATTACTATCATATTTATAAAATTTTAATTAGCTGATTTCCTATTTGTTGTATTTAGATTCCTTTTAATTTTCCCCTATGATAAACAAAACCAGAATAAGTATGGAGTTCTCTGATTATTACTTATGTTAAATACCTTTGATCATTTTGGTTTCATCTTTGGTGAAACATTTTGCCACGGGGCTGCCTTCTGTCACTGATTTACAGTTTTATTTTGCTCTCAGTATAGTTTAGATAAAAGTCTTTAGTTGGATACAAACAGATGGAGAGATATACCATGTTCTTGGATTGGAAGAATCAACATTGTGAAAATGACTATTCTACCCAAAAGCAATCTACAGATTCAATGCAATCCCTATCAAATTACCAATGGCATTTTTCACAGAACTAGAACAAAAAATTTTACAATTTGTATGGAAACACAAAAGACCCCAATAACTAAAGCAATCTTGAGAAAGAAAAAGGGAGCTGGAGGAATCAGCCTCCCTGACTTCAGACGATACTACAAAGCTACAGTAATCAAGACAGTATGGTACTGGCACAAAAACAGAAAGATAGATCAATGGAACAGGATAGAAAGCCCAAAGATAAACCCATGCACCTATAAGACAAAGGAGACAAGAATATACAATGGAGAAAAGACAGCCTCTTCAATAAGTGGCACTGGGAACACCAGACAGCTATATGTAAAAGACTGAAATTAGAACACTTCCTAACATCATACACAAAAATAAACTCAAAATGGATTAAAGACCTAAATATAAGGCCAGACACTATAAAACTCTTAGGGGAAAACACAGGCAGAACACTCTAGGACATAAATCACAGCAAGATCCTTTTGACCCACCTTCTAGAGAAATGGAAATAAAAACAAAAATAAACAAATGGGACCTAATGAAGCTTAAAAACTTTTGCACAGCAAAGGAAACCATAAACAAGACAAAAAGACAACCCTCAGAATGGGAGAAAATATTTGCAAATGAAGCAACTGAGAAAGGATTAATCTCTGAAATATACAAGCAGCTCATAGAGCTCAATATCAAAAAAAAAAAAAACCTAACCCAAAAATGTGCACAAGACCTAAATGGACATTTCTCCAAAGAAGACATATACAGATTGCCAACAAACACATGAAAAGATGCTCAACATCACTAATTATTAGAGAAATGCAAATGAAAACCACAATGAGGTATCACCTCACACCAGTCAGAATGGCTATTATCAAAAAATCCACAAATAATAAATGCTGTAGAGGGTGTGGAGAAAAGGGAACCCTCTTGCACTTTTGAGATGTAAATTGATGCAGCCACTATGGAGAACACTATGGAGGTTCCTTAAAAAACTAAAAATAGAACTACCATATGACCCAGCAATCCCACTACTTGGCATATACCCTGAGAAAACCATAATTCAAAAAGAGACATGTACCACAATGTTCACTGCAGCATATTTACAAAAGCCAGGACATGGAAGCAACCTAAGTGTCCATCGACAGATGAATGGATAAAGAAGATATGGCACCTATATACAATGGAATATTATTACTCAGCCATAAAAAGGAGTGAAAATGAGTTATTTGTAGTGAGGTGGATAGACCTAGAGTCTGTCATACAGAGTGAAGTAAGTCAGAAAAAGAAAAACAAATACCGTATGCTAATGTATGTATATGGAATCTACAAAAATGGTACTGATGAACCTAGTGGCAGGGCAGGAATAAAGACGCAGACGTAGAGAATGGACTTGAGGACATGGGGAGGGGGAAGGGTAAGCTGGGACGAAGTGAGAGAGTGGCATGGACTTATATATACTACCAAATGTAAAATAGCTAGCTAGTGGGAAGCAGCCACATAGCACAGAGAGATCAGCTCAGTGCTTTGTGATGACCTAGAGAGGTGTGGGAGGGAGGCTCCAGAGGGAGGGGATATGGGTAGTATGTATACATATAGCTGATTCACTTTGTTGTACAGCAAAAACTAACAACATTGTCAAGCAATTAATTAATGTAATGTAAAGTAATTAAGTAATGTAAAGCAATTACTCCAATAAAGATGTATATAAAAAAAGTCTTTAGTTGGTTGTATTGCAAATACCTTTCCCTCTGTGACTGTTAATGCTGTTTTTTGCTTAACATAAGTTCTTAAGTGTAACGTAGTCATTTTGTGTCTTGTTAAATCTTCTCCACCCACCTAAAAGTCAAGAAGGTATTGTACATTATCCTCTAAAGGCTTTGTTGTTTTGCACTTTGCTTTTAGGTCTATAATCCAAATGTAGTTATTTTTATAATAACAGTCCAAATTAAGTTTTTTATGTGAACACCCAATTATCTAATTACTAATTATTGAAAATCTCAACCATTCCACATTACTGTGCCATCTTCGTCATAAATCAAGTATTCTGATATCTACTTTTATACTCTTATGTTCCACTGGCCTATCTGTCTATCCTTTCAAATATTTCCTTTTGCCTACATTTCCTCCTTTCTTTCTGGGACTCCAGTAAAACACAGATGATATCTCTCTGTATCCTCAATGAGTCTTATCCTTTTCTCTGTATAGTATTTTCTCTATTTTTCCTCTTTAAGCTCCTTCTTTCATAGCTTCATCTGAACTGTATTTTCCAGTTCACTAATGCTCACTTCTCATTTGTCTAATCTGTTAAACTAGCACATTGAATGAATTTCAGATATTTTATTTTCTGATTCTAAAACTTGTCTAGCTCTTTTTCAAATCTGCCTTGTCACTTTCTTATAATTTCTAACTTCCTACCATTATGTACTATTTTTGCTTTTTTTTCAACTTGCTAAGTATGATGGCTTTCTTTGTTTGATAATTCCAATATCTCAAGACATTTTGGTCTGCCTATTGTCTGTTGGTTCTGCTGCTTCTTGCTCTCAATGCCGTGTGTGTGTGTGTGTGTGTGTGTGTGTGTGTGTGTGTGTGTGTGTGTGTATCTGGTTTCTGGTTACATTTATGAGCTGAACACTGTATGCAAAAAACTATTATATGATTAATTTTGGACCTAGGATAATTATACTTTCTCCAAGAGGATGTTTGTTTCTTCCAGGATGCTGGGGGTTATTAACAGTCTACATATCTTAATCCAGGTTTGACCACTTAATCCAGGTTGGATCACTAATAGGATACAATGTCAGGAGGCAAATTCGTTAAAGGACATAATGTACATATTAAAAAATATATTTCTGCTATAAACACCATTTCTTCTCATACAACTTATGTATGTCCAAGAGAATTTACACAGTTTGTATATTGGTTGGGTTAATGATAACTGTATCAGTGAGCACAATTACCATTTTCTGACATAGCTTACAACTTAAAAGATGGAACAATTCTCACAACTATTACGACAGCAACTTCAAGTGCTTTTTCAGTTAACTCTGAGGTTTAACGGGTAATCATCTTATCTACAAATATTGATAATTTCATTACTTTCTTTTCAATTCCTATACCTTCTATTACATATGTTGCTCCATTATAATAGAAAATACTTTGATCAATTAAACCATTATTCACATTAAAGTAGATAGGGAACTTTTAGACATGGATGGCCAACTGTACTATACCATAAATATAAGGGACTTGAGCAACCGCGAATTTTGGTATTCACAGGGGGTACTGGAACCAATCCCCTGTGGATACCGAGGGAGGACTGTACATTCAAATTATGTCAGCCATTTATGTAAAATAATTATTGGTGGGGTGATCAACATG